TGTTGTCTGCTCTTTTTTTGAACTTTGATATTATTACTAGTGTGAAATATTATCTCATTTTTGTTTGCACTCTCTAATAGCTAAAATTTCACCACTCATCTATCAGTTTGTCACACTGTGGTGGCTTATGTGTTACTGTGATTCTGGAAGCTATTCTGTAGGTATTCTAAATATCAACAGTATCAACCATGGTGGACAGGTTTCAGATGAGCTTCTAGATGAAGACAGACTAGGAAGAACTCACCAACAGCTCCTTGGAAACCCTATATAGCATCACTATGAGTCAGAACTGACTTGAAGGCACTTCACAACAACAACAGTGAAAAAGAGGACATATCCCAGTAAGATGGATGTTGCAGACCATGTGTAGACTATACAGGCTCTGAGGAACAAATGAGGCCACTGGCAGTCATGGCAAATTGTTTTTAATCTTAGTATTCGGTTATGTTTATAATTAAATGCAGACATGAGCCCTTATTATCCACAGAGAAATATTAGAACCTCCTAAAGCCAAGACTAAAGGTTTCAAAGGTCAAGCCTTTCTCCAAAGGATTAACTAAAAATAGCTACTTCACAGTTCTTTGTTCTACAAACAAAAAAAGCCATCTTCCCTGAATCTCTCCCAAGTGCAGGTTATTCAGCCAAATTCCTGAAAACCTGGCTCAGGAAGCCGAAACAGCAGGACTCCGCCCAAGCCTTTTGTCCTTCCCTTTCACCTTGTCCCAACTGAGCTCAGGGGCTATAGATATGTTAATTGAGCCTGAGAAACCAAGTTGCTGGCCTGGGATTCGAACCAGCAAAGCACGATGTAAAGTTACCTGAGTGTCTGGAAGATTACTGATGTTAGCTGTACCTTGCCTTGGTCCCTCCCAGCTTGGTGTGAAGCTCCTCCCCTAAATAAAACGGAGGCCCAGGCCAGTCCAGGTGTGCATTACAGGTTGTAGGGCATGCAGTAAAGATTGCAGGGCAGTGAGTTGCTGCCTGCAAAGGCCACGATGCCTGTAGTACCAAGTCTGCCCACAGTGTTGCATCCACCCTGGTTTCTGGGTGCCCTCCTTGTCTTCCTCCTTCTGTCTGTCTGTGTATTCTTTCGCTATCTCTATCGCCACTAGATCTCCCCTCCTCGTGAACCAAACACTCGTGAACAACACAAATATGTCGAGGTCAGTCCCCAACAGATGGACTGACACAGTGGCAGCAACAATGAGCTCAAAGATAACAGTAGTGAAGATGGTCAAAGACTGGACACTGTTTTGTTTTGTAATGCACAGGGTTGCCATGAGTCACAACCAACTCCATGGCACTTAACAACATTAGGATTACATTAGGTTGTAATCCTAATAGAAATGATTTGTCTTTGTTATGTTAATGAGGCTATATTACTGTAAAAATGTCTTAAATCAATCACTTTTCAGATATAAAAGGAGTAGATTAGGCACAGAAGGAAGGAGGCACAAATGGAGAATGACTGATGCCATGTGAAGATTAACAAGGAACTGAGAAGCATGAAGCTGAAAAGAGATGTACCCCAGAGTTGCCAAAGGGAGAAGGGCTTCCCTAGATCTGAGGACCTATTAGGACTTCCAGCCACCTAAATTCTGAACAAAATGTTGCTCGTTGAAGTCACTCACTTGTGGTATTTCCAGGAAACTAAGATAGGTGAGAAGTCCTGGGTGGCACTGTGAGTTAATGCTCTGGACTCAAATGTTGGTTTAAACTGCAAGATGGGCAGTTCAAGCTGACCAGTTGCTCCTTGGAAACCCTACACAGGATTGCAATGAGTTGGAACTGATTCGATGGCACTTAACAATAACAACAATAGGAAGATAGGTGAGGACTGGACTCAAAGATTACTGGCCTCATTTGCAATTTAAGGACCTATGATTTTAATTCTATTGAGAAAAGTTATACTTATTACATCATAGGCTTCATCCAAATATATTAACTAAATTCCAAAACATTTGGAAAAATTTAGTAGTAAACTTCTACATAAATACTTTTCAAACACAAATTTATTTTGGTGTTTCTTTCTCATCTCTTCCTTCTCCCTTCTCTCCCTATTCCAGAAAGCTAATGATTAATATTTCCATTTTGTTGTAAGAATGCATAAAGCTTCAGAAAACACAGTAGCAGACAGTGAAGTGAGGTCAGACTCAGAGATGAGAAAAAGATTACTGAGATTCTTACCATCAACTGTGCCAAAAAATAAATGCAGATTTGATAAATGACACAAAGTCATTACCTTGTAATTTCCCTTTCTGCTGATTCGATTTTTACAAGGGCCCAATTTTCCATGGAAACAGATCAGATTTACAGCAAATACAAAGATTGCATCTTTTATTTATAAGGCAAAAAATCTACTCAAATACTTTTCATTAAAATTGGATTCCATGTGAGATTAGCTTTTAGAGTATTATTCAAGCATTACATAACTTCTGTTATTTTTGTGGGAACTAATGAGCAAAGACCTTGAAGGTCTATCTTCTTAGAACAGTTATTGAGACTACCAATTCTGACTTTGATTGCTTGATTCAGTTTGATAATGAAGTTTTAGAATAAAGTTGCTAGGTAAGTGAACAATATACATGCTTGCTCTCCCTTCTCTTTCTGCCTTCCTTCAAGAGGAACACCTTTTGTAAGAATACTTACTAACCTCAGCTCAATTTAATGGAATTAGGGAAATAATATATCAATAAACAGCAATAATAAAAAATTAAAAAGTAACTCATTTATTTTGAATACGATTACACCCCTTGGGAGTCCTAGTGTGTTGCTATGTGTTAATGCAGTGGACTATAAAGTTGGTGTGAACTGCAAGGTTGGTGGCTCACGCTCACTAGGTGCTTCTTGGAAACCCAATACAAGGTCACTATCAGAGGGAACTGACTCGACAAAACTTAACAAAAACAACAACAACAAATTACATCCCTTGAGAAGATTTCCCAAAAATCATTTAGCTAATATAGGAATAGACAATTGCATAGATTTGGGGATAGGCAAGTTAAATGTTGAGTTAAGAGTACAATTGTTGGAAGATACCTTTAAATTTAATGTACATTCTAACAGCAGTTAGAGAACGCTCCACCAAGAAGCAAGACTGAGTATGAGTCTTCTGAGTAAATGTAGGCTAGACTGAAGTTGTTTTATATAGAGTGGAATTGGAAGAACTCCAGTGGCATAGTGGTTAAAGCGGGTACTCAGCTGCTAACTCCAAAGTTGGCAATTTAAACCTACCAGCTACTCTATGGGAAGAAGATGAACAATCTGCTTCTGTTAAAATTTGCAGCCCTGAAAACCCTCTGAGGTAGTTCTAGCTGTCCTATAGGGTTTCTGTAAGTTGGAAGCAATAAGATCATGGGTAGATTGAAGTCCCAGGGTGTTGCAATGCTTAATGCTCTCAGCTGCTATCCAGAAAATTGGGAGTTTAGAAGAAAGTCCTGGCAGTATGCTTTCATGATATTAGCCTTTAAAAACCCCGTGGAGGACAGTTCTACTCTGCATACATGAGTTTGTTGCTTTGCATACATGTTGTTATTCTCCCCTGGTTAGATGAAGATAGGTGCTTCTGGGTAGAGCAGTTAATGTGTTCAGCTGCTAACGAACAAGTGTAGGCTTAATTGACCTAACAGCACCTTGGAAGGAAGGCCTGGATATCTGATTTTGAAGAAATCAGCATTGAAACCCCTACAGAGAATAGTTTTACAATGACACATGGGTCACCATGAGGAGGAATCAACTTGACATACAATAGTTTACAGATGGAGATAATTCCTATGTCCTTAAAGTGAATGCTGGTAGTTTGTTTTTTAGTTTCTAAAGGTGAGGTAAGGATCATGGGAAAATATAAAATGGGAGTCAAACAATTTTCAAATGCTTAATGTTTACTTTTTACACTGTAATGATAGCATTTAAATGCCCAGGAGTAGATCCTTTATTTATCTCTTACCTAGTGGTACTGTAGGATAAACACTGGACTGCTAACCACAAAGTTGGCAATTCAAACCTACTAGCCACCCACTGGGAGAAAAATGAGTTTTGCTGCTCCTCTAAGGTTTGTAGTCTTCATGCATATCAAAAATTATGTCTCTAGCATAGTGGTTACAAGTTGGGCTGTTAATCTCAATGTCAACAGTTTGAAACTACCAGGAGGAAGATGAGGTTTTCTCTTCCCATAAAGATTTACAGCCTCGGAAATCCTATGCAGGGTTGCTATGGGTCATAATCAACTTGACAGCACTTAACAACAACAAATCCTTGAGACAACTTAAAAAATGTGAGTTAAACAACTTTCATGTAGTCACTATAAAAATACACAGTGGCCTATCTATTTAGTTCCATAAATGAAGTTCTGTGTCTAGGTAACTTAAAAGAACTTTGTTTAATTAATGCACAGCACCTACTATATGGTTCAGGTGTCTCTAGAGACTGAGATGATCTGAAAAAGTCAGATTTTCCAAATAACTGACATACACATACAGGTTTTCAGATGCATATTTTCAAAACTATTTTTAGTTGAATTTTTATTTAAGATTAAGATAAAGATTGTTTAGGTAGTAAAAAAGCATAGTTTAACTTATTTGCAATTACCAAGGCCAGTTATTATCCAATACCATGATATAACAATGCTGCAAGAACTAACTACTAGACTCAACATAGGACTATGTGCTCCTAAACAGTGAAGTTTCAAAGTTTCCCATTAGGGATTCCCAGCTGGTTTGGGGCAACCTTTTGTTTTTTCTCATTGCAAGCAGCTGCCACTTCATTCTTCTCTTTGGTTGCCCTTCCCATATATTTTATAATCAGCTGTTATATTTTAATTAAAATATTCTGGGAAAGATTCTGACACTGGTTCCTTTCTCACTTCTATGTCTTAAAGGCAGGAGATGTCTTAGGGGGCTTTGAGTCACTGGTTACCTGAATAATGCAATAATTTTAGCTTACAGAAGTCATATGAATTGACCCTTCTTTAAACATCATCGACATAACAATTATATACTTACTAATTCTGGTGTCCTTACAGTACTGGACCAAATATTGTCCCATGACTTTCAGTAGATGTTTGTATTTTTGGACATTAAGAAATTCCTGTTTATTATGGGATGGTTCCATGATCTCCAAAGGTATATTAACAATTCCAATCACGCCTGTACCAACTCTGAGGAAATAAAGGCATATATGAATTTTGTTAAATTTGGGTTTGAACAACTGACTTTGTGGTTAGCAGTCCAGTGATTATCCTAAAACATCACTAATGGTAATAGACATACACACATTAGCCTATTAGATAAACTATATTACATATATATAATTTTGTTGTTGTTTTTAGGGCCGTATGATATACACAGAATATAGCTGATATCAACAATCTACAATTGTTGTATATTTTTTGCTTGGTGACATAATAATCTCTTTTGGAAAAAAGAGTATGCAGAAGTCTAACTCTTCTGGGGTGGGGGAGCTTTACATTGCCATTAATATGTCATAAGAAGAAAATCTCTGTAATTTATGGTATCTGCCTGCCTTTTCTATAATGTTTTCATCATGTTCCCCTCCTTCCCTCTCCTCCCTTCATTTGACTTATCATTCTTTCAGTCTAAGTTTGTCATCATCACTTTCAGGAAGCCTTACTTGACTTTCTCCAGTTTGGTTTAGCTGCCCCTGCTAAATACTTTTTTTGTTCATTATTCTCAGCTTTACTGTAGTGTTCACTCATTAATTCATTCATCCTTTCATTTCAACTAAGCTTCTAGCCCTCTTCCAAAACCTGGGGGTACAGTGATGAGCAATAAATAAACAGTCTCTGTTTATGAAGTTTGTCTTCTATTGGATAAAGTAAACATGAAGCTAATAAACAGATAAATTAACATTATCATTTAAGATAGTGAAACCTGGTATGAGAAAAATGAAGTAGGTAGAGTCTGTAATATGTGAAAAAAACTGCAGGTAAAGAGGAGTGACAGCAGAGGATATTTTAAGTAGATAGTCACAGAAGACCTTCTGCTAGAGAAGTCTTTAAAGTTGACACTTCAGTATCATACTAGGGCCAATGATGACAATAGTTAAGAGCAGAAGAAATGATCAGTGTCAGACCATGAAAGGCATCTGAGAAAGAGGGGATGGTGGCAGAAGGAGCCTGACACAGAGCAGCACAGAGGCGAGATCACCTGAACACCATGGAAAATAGCTCAGTTCTAAATGTAATGTATTGATCATTACTGGTGGTTGGAATGCACAGGTTGGGAACAAAGAGGAAGGATCCGTAGTTGAAAAATACAGTCTTTGTGATAGAAATGATGCTAGAGGTCGCATGATAGAATTCTGAAAAATCAATGATTTATTCATTTCAAATATCTTCTTTAGACAGCATTAAGAGACGATTATACACATGGACCTTACCAGATGGAATATACAGAAATCAAATTGACTACATCTTCAGAAAGAGACAATGGAAAAGCTCCATATCATCAGTGAAAACAAAGCAAGGGGCAGACTGTGAAACAGACCATCAATTACTCATATGCAAATTTAAACTGATGCTGAAGAAAATGAAAACAAGTCCATGAAAGCCAAAATAGGACCTTGAATATATCCCACCTGAATTTAGAGATCATCTGAAGAACAGATTTGATACA